TTATCTGTCCCTCCAGTTTAAGTTAAATACAAGGCAGAGGGATGGAGCAGGGGTGCAGGGCAGGGAGAGGCCGGGGGAAGGAGGCGAGGAAGCCTCCCTGAGCCCAGATGGGTTCAAGGACTGACCTGTCATGGGGGACAGAGAACGTATCGCCTGCACAAAGGGAATTGCCCTGCCCGGAGGTTGAACGTCGCCTTTGTGTGAGACAAACGCCTGGCTGTGATGTTGAGTGCGGGGAGGGCCTTCGTTAGGGAGAGGGGAAAAGGAAGGGATCTTTGTTTGCAGGGTCTGACACCTCCCAGCCGTCCTGCCGGCACAGCCAGCGCCTTCTGATGGCTTTGTCAGCTCCTGGCTAATTAGCGGAGATGCTCTTTGGTGAGGTTAGGAAAGAAAAATTTTTAAAACATCAAAGAGAAGCAGTAAATAGTGATAAAACTCGGCTCTGTTTCATGCCTGTCATCGGAGACGCAGGCTTTCTAAGCTTGCAGGAGTGCTGTGTCCTGTGCCTTCTGTGGGGGAGGCCCGGGGAGGCCTATCGCCCCGCGGGATGCTGACACGTGGGGCCGAGGGCCCGTCCTTTTGGCTCGAACCTTGTCCCATAGCGGTGTCCAGGGCCGGGTCACAGCGTGTTGGGGCGGGTGTCTGGGGTAGTGCCTTTCTCTTGTTGGGAGGCGAGCCTGGCTCCAGGGCGTGCTCTGACTTAGTGGCAGAACCGGACTGCGGGGCCGCTTGTAGATCCTGTCCTGGGGGGATCACAGCTCTGACCAAACCCGGCCCGGGAGCATCGCAACCCCAGGCTGTCACCCCCATGACAGCTCTGAGGTGCCCGGTGCGCCCCGCTGCTCCCTGTACGGTTGCCCACTGTCATTTGTTTATACGCGTTGGGCTTCCAGGCTCTCTGGGAGCCGGTTAAAGTTTAGCTCGCTGCTCTCCGCCACCCGAGCAGACTGCCAGCTAGTCACGTCCCTTGGAAAAAACCCCGCGGTGGCTGTTCACGCTCGACGTACGCCGGTACGAGCTTCCCCGCTATTTGGGTGTCGGGAGCTAAAGCCTTGTTGCAGCTCAGGCCGTGGCAGGGTAACCTGTTATCCCTCAGGGTAACCCCAGAAATCAGCCACCCATCCCCTTCTTGGCGGCTCCGGCAGCGAGAGCAAGGCAGGCTGCCTGCCTTCCTCCCCTCCCCGGGCTGCTGGAGGATTTTATTTTAAGCAGAGCCTCTCGGGGAGAAGGGTAACATGAGCTCCTTGAGTGACAAGTGATAGAGCTTGACTTGCTTAGCGTGTCCCCCAGGAATCCCTCTCCTCTGCCATTTGCTAATTGAAAACTGCCAACATTTGGGTCTGGAGCAACTGCAGCCCTTAATGGGAAGCTGGCTGGAGCGTGCGTCGGTGGGACTAACACATGCTCGCAGCCTGTCATCTGCTCGTCTCCATCTCTAGGGAAAGGGGCAAATACTCCCATATGCTGCTCCGGTTTCTGAAAGAGTGAAGTGGGGGCTGGAGCCAGACAGGTTTTTCTTTCATTCTCCCTCCTCCAAGCCCTTGCTAGGAGGTTAGAAACCACCACGGGCCGGAGGGCTGCTCTTGGCTGCAAGCCTGGGGCACGAGCTCCGAGCGAGACGAAGCCATGGGACTGCACGGTCCCTCTGTGCCTGCAGCACGGGGCGGGGGGGGGATGCTCAGGGCAGCCCCTCCATGTCCTGCTCCGCCGTTGCCCAGCTCAGACCCTGCCACGGGCCATGGCTGGGACACGGGTTGCTCTGTGCGGCAGGAGCAGGTACGGGAGCCGTCCCCATCACCACCCCAGGCCCCGGGGTGCACGGCTCCACTGCCCTCGCTCAGGGGCGCAGCCGCAGCTCCGGGCTGCCTGCAGGAGCGTGGTACCCCCGGGGCACCCCGGGCTGAGCCAGCGCTGCCAAGGAGGGGACGCAGGGTCAGCGAGGACAGCACGGTGCGTGCCCGCACCCCCGGAGCCAGAGCCCAGCCCTGGGCCAGGGGAGGCCCCAGACCCGTGGCTTGTCCCCGGTGCGGTGCGGT